TAACATATAATTAACCCTAAGATACAAAACAGCAAGCAACCTAGTGAGAGACTTCAAGAAGTAATTATTGCACTGTTTTTCCCAGTTTTACGTCCGTCCGCGGATCTGCTTTTTTCGTCTGTCTGGCTGCGCATGCGCATTGATCTGTTTTTTTTTCGAGGAAAAACATCAAAAACGTACGAAATAGTGCGCAAAACTTTTCGTACGATTTCATACGAACTGATAATGAGAATATGTTGTTTGACAACCCTAGTAATGGGGACCATCTACACCATGTTTACCAAAACTGCATGAGATAAATATAGATATGTACAGAGTGGTGTAAATACTTGATAGTTTGCACAGAGAAAAAAATGAACATACAGAAGTAGACATGCATAAAAGTTTAAAACTCAATAAGCAAAGCATTTCACTTGTCTGTCACTGCTTGTTCTAACAAGCAGACACACTGAGGGTGTGTTCTTCCATTGGTAATAATTTTTTTCATCTTATATGTTTAGAATAAGTGCCTTCGCTGCACATTTAGACAGATGTAATGGGCATGTGATCTGTATCTTCTGCTGCTGCACTGTTGTTTCTGGTTTCTTCTGTCACACACTCAGCAAGCTTTTAAACTCATTAGTATTCTGTCTGGACTTATTTTCTTTCCTTCTGACATTTACATTTAAATTGTTTATCTGTGTGTGTGTGTTGGCGTCTCTGTATCCTGTAATGAACATGCCTTCGCTGTTCCCCGAAGGCAGCCATTACTAACACACACACACGCATGGACAGAGGAGGATAATGTGCGAGGAGGAGGGAGGCTGCAGATCCGTCTCGGGATTTTAAAATTTCCATTTAAAATCATTAAGATTTAAGGGGTTAAAAAAAGACTGCTGTGTGGGGTTTTTATGAACCCTTATTTCTGCTTGTATTTGCAGCTTTTTGATTTAATTGGTTTCATGTGAAAAAAATAATTTGGTAACCTCATTTTTATTTTTTTCTACTTTTTTTGTGTGACTTTTTTTCCTGGTATTTTTGATGCTTCTCGGGTTGAAGAAAACGTTAAAATCTGTTTGCTCAATGGATTATAGGAAGAGGTTGAGTTTCTGCAGGTTGGATTCAAGCAAAACGCCAACATGCCAGACGACTTGTTTTTTTTACCTTGTAGAAATCTAATTATTTACATTTTTAGGTTATTATAATAGAGTTGAAATGGGGCTCTGAAAATACATTAAAACTATTTTTGTTGTTAATATTCTATAATAGCTTTTAAGAAAATTATTTAAGTTATTAGTTAGGGTTTGGTTTATAATGATCAGAGTAATGTTCAGATATACTGTATGGGGTTTACATGCCGGAATTTGACATTCATGTATGGATACTGTTCTGAATGAAAAGCAGCTATTAAACAAAGGAGGACTTTAGAAACATTGAAAGATTGTTTTAAAAGGGCAACATTTTTCTTTCAATCTTTAAGAAAACATGCAGCCGAATTGCACAATACAGAGCATCCAAATCCTTCAGCGGCTATGATTCACAATGAAAGGCTGCTCATGTAATCAGACAAACTCACTGACTCACATTCAGATGATGTGTGTTTGCACAACTTGAGAATGCTGAGAGCAGAACAGAAAAAATTCAAGCTGATTATCACTCTGCGTGTGTGTTGCTGATTGCTTTGCAGTACCCTATCTCTTGCTTTTGTCTATCAGCATGCAGCCCTTGTCACAATTATGCATCTATGCATGAAGATGTTGGACATGTGTGTTTGTGTGGGTAGGGGGGATAAAGGTTGAGATCCAGATGTTGCTTCATTTTTATTCTCCCCCATCATTCCATTCTCCCCCCATCATTCCATTTTTATTTTTTTTAATCCGTCTTCCTCCCCCACAGAAAATCATCTGTACACACGCAGCCCCCAGCAAGCCAAAGTTAATGTGTGCTTGCTAAGCCAGGTGGCTGCATGGCCTCATATATGTCCTTGTGCATCTCTGGCTTGGCGTTGATTGGAGTGAGTGCAGCTGCTGTGAAAATCTGCAAACCCTTTTTATGTGGGTCACTGTGCGTGTATGCGCTCAGATCTGCAGTATTTCTTTATGCTGCATTCTGAGTTTCTGTGTTTATTTTCCAAAAACAAACACATTAATTAAGAAAAAAACGATTTGTGGCAAAAGTGCAATATGGTCAACCAAAGCTTGATATATTAATGTTAAATTAGGTGATTTCAGACTCCAAGAACCTTTTCAACAACTTATACTGATGCTTGTTTTAGCAGAAATCTCAACGTCTTGCTGCTCGTGTAATAATAACCCAGAGGGACTAGCGTTAGCTCAGCTTCAGCTCTTAGGTTCATGCTCTTCTCAGGATTGATGTGAGCAGACTCTACTTGCTGAATAGACCAAGGTATTTTGGTGTGAAGATGGCACTCTTGAAAACCTTTTTTTTTTATTCTGTGGTGGCATCAGTCATCTTCTTTGGTGAAGTTTTTTTGAAGCAGCAGATTTTCCACAGCTAAGAACAGGATAAGCTCATCAGGATGAATAGCTCTGCCATAGGATGCCACATTTGATCCAAAGCTAATGTTAGAAAACAAAAGGACTCCAGCAAAAATAACCTCTTTTTCAAAAGAGGTTTCTCAGCCCATCCATAAAGCTGTTGCGGAACCAGAGAGAGTGACAGGGTGCTGAATCACAGGTGCACAAAGGAGCGTTATCGTACTTCCTTCCTGCCAGCTGCTGTTTGACTTTATATAATCAATGCTACCAACAAATTCAATGCATGTTTGAATCCCTGCTGTTATTTTTGCACAGTGATATTCATTTCTTGTAAATCATCTCTTGTGTATGCACAAATACAAGCCAATTATACAATATTTTTAAATGAACATACTTAGCTTAACATTTCTTTTAACCTGAGTAATTTATTGGAAGAAAGAAAACTATACCAACAAAATATGAAAATGTTGTTTGCCCCACGTTAGTGACTCTAATTCGGTGTAATTTGGGATATTTAACAGTTTTTCTGATCAAAATCCCCAAGACCATATAGGTGTTCTTTAAAACAGCTCACAAATACCAGTTAAAAAATGTAGCATGTTGCTGATGAGATGGCCATTGAGGAGCGTTGATTGTGTGTAATGGGCCATTTCTGTTTAGACTTGACAGCATGTATTGGGTCATTATCCATTTGAAAAAACTTATTATCACCTATTTTCAGTTTATTGGCTGAGGAAACCAGACTATTTAAAATGTAAGTGGATGTCAAAGAGCTACGGATGCCAAACACTAACAAGGAGTCCATGGCCTGTTGAAGATTTGAAAATGTTTGTGTTTATTTCACCACAAATTTACCTGCATTGTGAATGAATGAATGATTTTATTTCAGACAATTTGAAAAACAACAATAAATTAATCAACCTAATACACACAAAAAAAGATTTCCAAACTAAGTAAATTCACCTGAACATAAATAGAAACAAAAACCTCCACCAAATAAACTTTTCGGTATATACAGCCAGAGAAATTACATCAATTAATGTAAATTATCTGAAAAAGATATGAAAAAGTAAAACTTATTCTTCATACCCCTTTAATCACCTGAAAAACATTTCCAGGATTAAAGGACTAGCGTGCAAGCAGGATCTAGAAAAACGAATTCATGCATATATCTTTAGTAGAATTGATTACGGTAACAGTTTCTTCATAGATTTACTTATAAAGTCCATCAGACAGCTGCAGCTGGTCCGAAACTATGCTGCCCGTGTTCTCACTAGAATTAAGAAAGTAGAGCACATCAACTCAGTTCTCAAGTCTTTCCACTGGCTCCCTGTAGCTCAGAGAATACTTTCAAATTAGTGTTGCACCGATACAGATACCAGTATCAGACAGGGCCCAGATCCAACACTAAAATGGTGGTATCGGTATTGGTGAGTACCGGCAAATAGGGCACAAATACTATTTTGAGAGCAAAAAGTTTATTCAACTATTGTCACCTATTCCAGTTAGGCAATAAAAAGTTCTACTGGATTCACTTTGTATTAGTCTTTTTACATGATTTTACATCCAAGTAGTACGCAGTTCTTCATATATACACATACTCATCAATTTCAAACAGATGGTATCGGCCGATACTGCACAGCCAGGTATCGGGTATCAGTATCGGGCCCAAAAAAACTGTATCGGCGCAACACTATTTAAAATAATTCTGTTTGTCTAGAAATCAGTGAATGGATCAGCACCTCAATACATAACAGTTTTGTTGTCAGTGTATCAACGTCCCAGATCACTCAGGTCTTCTAGTTCAAGCCTAGTCTCTACACCTAGAACTAGAACCAAACATGGAGAAGCAGCATTTAGTTCCTATGCTCCACTTGTCTGGAACAAACTCCCAGAAAACTGTAAAAGTGCAGAAAATCTGAGTTCTTGAGGTCAAAGTTAAAACCCACTTGTTTAGAGCTGCCTTTGGCCGTTGAAGTTAAACTGCTGACTAGGTAATCTGTCTAAGGTTATCAGTTATACAAGGTTTTGGTCCAACTGTTTTATTGTTTTACTTCCTGCTTTTATCATATTTTTTTCTATTTTTCATGTAAAGCACTTTGAATTGTCCTTTTTATTGCAAAAATGACCTAGAAATAAGTCAGAATTTCTTCTATTAAGTGTTCTTTCCCTTAATTTGAGTAGGTAAATAAGATGATTTGCCAATAGAATCAGTTTTTTCCTCTTAGAATAAGTTAATAAGTTAATGAGGTAATATGTACTTGACATAATACGATTTGTATGTGTACAATGTCTTGTTCCACTTACCCCCTCAATTCAAGAAAAATGCCCATCTTTTCAGAAAAATAAACTTATTTAGATTTCATTTATTTGCAGTACACTGAATTGTGCTATACAAGTAAGCTTACCTTGCCTTACCTTACCTTGTAGATCACAAAACAATGAAAGAGTTAAATGAGTGAGACTGCTGTAATTGTGTTTTTATTGTTACTGACTTCTATAATTGTGTCCCTTTTTCTGCAGCTAAACATGATGTGAATGGAAACAGGACAATTCCTCCCTTTCCAGAGGGAACACAGATGGTAATGTTTGGTAAGTGTCAAAATGTAAACCAGCAGATTCATGCTGATATTCAACTAAACACTTAGCTTTTGTTTGCTCTTTAAAGACTTTTAAATTTGATCGTTGTCGTAGATTAGACATTTTTCTTAGTTATAAAGTTGACTGTCTGCGATGTGCTTTTGTCCAACTTGCAAAACAAGTGAAGTAAAGCAGAAATTTAATTGACTATAGAAGGTAGATGTAAACTCACTAGCAGACTCTGTCTCTCCTTTCTTTTTAGACTGATCAGAAATGCCTCCTTTAAATGGAAGTAAAGAACGAGGCACTGATTACAGCCGGTAATTGTTTCCATTGAAAATGGTGACGGAGATTTTAATTTGCGAAAATGTACTATAAACTTAAGTTTGCAGTGATGCCACTTCTGAACACAGTTAGACTAAATTAAACTGGTTAGGGTAAAAAAAAAAGAAGACATACATTATACTTACTTAAATTGTAGCTTTCTTTGAAATATGTCATAGATTGTATAACAAAGACTAATGTTGACTGTTCTGGTTTCTCTCAGGCATGGGCTGTTTCTGGGGAGCAGAGAGGAAGTTTTGGAAGCATAAGGGAGTTTACTCTACGCAAGTGGGCTATTCTGGGGGGTACACACCTAATGCCACGTATGAGGAAGTGTGCACAGGTAACCACTGCGTACCAACGCGCACAAGCATGTTTTTTCTACTCACGGTCAATGCAAGCAAATATGTAAAATATGTATAAACTAAAGGAGGAAAACTGACTAAATATTCATGTTCCATCATAGGTATGTTCTAATATTTTACATCTGGGTTTCACAATATCAGTCAGGTATTTGATTAATAGGCTCTAGGAGGCAGTTGGTTTATCAGGTGTGGCTTTAGAGGAGGTTCGCTCCTGGTTTTCTAACCTGCCAGAACATTTTGTTTGAGCGGGACAGTTCATGCTGAGCTCTAAAAGTCAGAAATGAGGGCCACCGCAGGGTTAGGTTTGGGACCTATCCTCCATATGTTTTCTATATTTTCCATTTAGGCCAAATAATTTGGCGGTTTCCTAAATTGTTTTATCATTCTTTGCTGATGATACACAGTTAATATATGGATTTTACTAATATCTAAACGTCTTTCAGTATGTTTTTGTAACTATCAGCAAAACCTTGGGTTTTCTTCTGGGTTTATATTTGGGCTGAATCTATTTTATTAATTGTGATTAATGGATTATTGTCAACTAATTTAGCAACTGATTAATGGTTAATTGGAGTGTAGAGACTCTAAAACATGCCTTTAGCTGACAGAGCGACCCACTTAGAGCAGTAATTATTCCAAAATTAACTAACATTTTGCATTTAGGTCAAACCTTTTTTGTCTGTCAATATGCTCTATCCAGAAATCCTCAATGGGGAAAGTTTTAGTTTCATCTGGTTTAATTTCGCAAAGCGTCTTCTTCAAGGACCCATTGGCTATGTGATTATTAAACGATTAATTTAGAAAACAATCGTCAGATTAATTGATTTTCAAAATAATCATTAGTTGCAGCCCTAGATTATATTTCATTACTCTTTGCAGGATTGTCAGAGTTCATGAAACTTCCTCTTTCCTGGCACAGAATAATTAATGTAGGCCTTCCAAATTAGTTGGACGTCTTTAGGGTCATTGTCCTGCTAAGATGCCCATGCATGTGCACGTATCGACTTTTAGACCAAATGGGGTGCTCAAAAACCGCTATGTCTTTTCTATTGCAATTCTTTGGAATAGAAAAGGCAGGTTAACATGAAATGTATCTTGATTTATGAATTATTGGACTTCAGGTTTACCTCCTCCATCCTTTCCAGAAGCAGTTGTCATGATTTTATCTAAAGATCTGACCCACATGCAGAAGACCAAACAGAGAGACCAGGGAAAAGTTTAACAGGTTTTATTGAGCGTAGGGTGAGAAGAGTCCAGTGCTGCTCTGAACACTGATAAACCGGGACTGAAAAGTGAAGGGGAAGATTCTGCGGTTAGTTCAGGCTCAGTGGGAAATTTGTGTCTTCGATTTGAAGAAGGGAATTAAGGCAACAGGAAAAGGTTTCTCTTGTTGAATCCAGTCTGTGTGGGTTGTTCCAGTGAATGACTTGCTCGTTGGAGGGCAGGCAGGGTTTATCCAGGTTACGGTTTTTCCTTGAGGAACGGAGGAGCTGACTGCCACTTAGTTTTCCTGCGGTACTTGAACGGTTTCTTGTGGAGATGAAACCCCTGCTCAGAGAGATGCCCAAACAATACTTGGGGAAAAGTAGATCCAAACCACTAGGTTAAATCCTCAGCTCAGCTTGATGCTCAGAGAATCCTTCCAGGGGGCGAAGGTCCAAAACATCCAGTTTGCAGGAGGACTTCCTGTCGAGAGGCAAAGACAAAAACAGCAATGTTAAAACTCAGGTGACAAAAACTAAGTTTGACTCAGCAAAACTCAGCTTGGCTAGAGTACCCAAAACTAGCAAACACTCTGGCGTCGAGGTAGTGGCAGTCAGCAGCTTAAGAGTCCTCCGGTAATGAGGTAACCATCCGCAGGTGTGTGAGGAGGCCAACGAGAACCAGGCACCGCCTGGTGGTGGAGAGAAGACAAACAAAAGCACAACCCACACAAACTGGATTCATAACACCAGTCTCTATCTAGCTCACCCAGTTGTGTCAAAATATAATTATTTAACCCAAACTTTTGGCTTAAGATAAATAAAACTTTAGGAAGATAAACTTGGAACTGCTCAAGTTGATGAAAGAGCTTAAGATGCTGTGACACTAGAGGCTATACATGGTAAAGAGAAGTTACTATCAACATCAACTGTGACTGTACTGCCAAAAAAGGAACGGTCCCTCTCTTTCGATTGGCAGTCACTGCTGACCACAACATCTTAAATGATAAAACTTTAAGTCAGACCAGACAAATATTGGCCACAGTTAGGAAGAATGCTTGAAGAAAACCAAGTAAAGGCTCAAAAATCTAAAAACACTTTAACAGTTATCAGCATGGTAGTGGGTACATCATGCTGTGGGGTTGTTATGCTGCCACTGATAATTGTGTATTCTACTTAGGAGAGTTTAATGATGAAGAAGACATTTTTATGCTCCCAAATGGAAATTCTTTATTGCTTGCTGGGTCAGAAAATACACATTTATTTTAATGTTACCAAGCCATCTCTCTTTTTAAAATCACATTCCACTAAATCATTTAAAGCTCCAAATTAGTTCAACATCCATGAAGATGATGCAGAAATGTAAATGTGTGACTAAGACTGTACCGTCTCCTGATAATTGGCCTGTTTTGCTGTCATTTTCTTCCCTCCTAGTAGATTTCTTTTGTCTATTATAGTTGCCGCCTGCGTCTGTGTTTATAGATAACACTGTGCGTTTTTAACTGGATATTGGAGCAAAGATAATTGGCCTGGTTTAATAAATCTCCCCCCAAAAATAACTGAGTAAACATGACTGCTGGTGTAATGCTGGAAACCTGGCTCTAATGATTTAGTATTTATACACAGTTTAAAGGTTATAGACTGAACCGTATATTTAACGTTTATTTGAATTTTGTTCAGCATAGTGAACCTTTGGCCAATTTTCCTCAAGTTCTTCTCTAAGGTTTAGATAAATATGCGTAGACTTACCTCTGAATACAGTTTAAAGCCTAAAAACATGGGGGTACACTGGAAAAACGATCTATAATTAAGTAAAAATTTCTTAAATTCAGTGTATTTACCCTTGATTTGAGTAGGTAAATGTTCCATTGGCAAGATGTCTCTTTTATCTCCTCAATTCAAGAGCAAATGTACTTATTTTAAGAAAAAATGACTTATCAAGATTTAGTTTTTTGCAGTGTAGTGCTTGACTCTTTGGCTTTAGAGTCCTATCGGTGCAGATTCATGACTTAATCAGGCTTTTACTGTTGCATTTGAGTGCTGAAGTATAGTTTGTGCATTCGTAATGTTCTATTGTATGTAGCACTGAATATAAAGCTGCTTCGAATCGTTCTTAATTAGTCCTGCGTCATAGGTGAAGGAGGCTAAATAAATTGCTTCTCAAACCTTCAGGTATTCAGAAAAGACAACTGCTGAATATTTACTGGGAGTCAAATATTTACAGTCGGATTAGCGTTAGTCCAATTTGTGGTGATTAGATTTGCATATCTTTCCTCTGTGTTGAGAATAAGTACCTGTTACTGCAGTTGTACCCAAACCCCCACCCAACCACCACACACACATTTATTGCTGCTCTCATGTGTACTTCTTTTTATCCATCATTTATAAACAGTTCTCATCATACATTTTCTGATTTTCTGTCTTGTAGTCAAATAAATGCTTGTTTAAAATTGGCATTGACTTAAAGGTGACGTTTATCTCACCAGCCTTGTTTGTTTAAAAAGAGAAAAAGATTTGAGAAATGTTTTTGCTTTTCTTTTCTGAATCGGTCCATCCCAGATGTATTGTTGTTTCACAAAAGCTATTGTTTCGGAGAAGATTAAAGTAAATACAGAAATTGATTTGAAAGTAACCTGAAGGACATTCTGACTATATAAAATCCATCTTGCAGTCTTGTTACATGAATTATCAAATGCTTTTTCTTAGAAACGCCAATAAAAAAAAACAACAAACTTCTTGGCTAGTAAATAATTTTTTAAAATACTGAGTTAAATGTGATCAAAGTGTAAAAGCAATCTAATATAAACCTTGTAAAAGTAAAACTTTTGCTTCATAGATTAGGTTTTTGGTTAAATTCTTTTTATAATCATCTTAAAACAGTTTTCAGAGACAATTCACTTAAATCATCCAAACAAACAGGTCAACATTTATTTTTCTAAGGTAACCCAGCCAATCGCAAAGAGTAGCAACATCATGCAGTTGCTTGTATCGGGTCGTCAACTTTGGAGCAATCCCTCCTAATAAACATGCATGTAATGACAGTCAGAAAACTTATTTTTAACAGAACAGATAAAAGTTTTGAGCTGATGCAGCACACACACAAAGGAAACACAGAAGCATTAATCCTAAAGGACTTTCTACAGCCCCTTTTCCACTGGAAGCCAATGGATTTAAAGCACCAGGATAAGGCCAGCAGGTAAAGACTGTCTTATGGCGATGGGGTTTATGCAACCCAAAGTGTCATGCTCCTAAGACCAGGGCAGGATCAGATATAGAAGATGGCAATTTCTTTACAAACTGACAAACAGGTGAAGGTTTGAGGTGTACTTTGCTTATAACCTGTCTAAAACATATTTCTTGACAAACTTAAGGTATGAAAGCAACATTCTTACATCACACAGGAACAAAGTACCAAATCTCTTCAGCAAGGTGAACAATCCCTCCGTTAATGACCAACAATCATAGACAGGTTTCAGGTATTACAGGAGGCAATCACCCCTTTAACGACTATCCCCCCCTTTAACGAACGACCTTCAGAATCATAGACAGGTTTCAGGTATTACAGGCCAACAATGGAACCAAACGACCCATTAATCGGTTCAATTTGCATCTTTCCAAGCAATACAAGGCCTTGTCTATATAAAGCCTCAACTCACTGCCGACCCAAACATTTGAATTGAGAAAGCTTCCTGGAGAGGGAGCGAAATGTCTTCAAACCTTGAAAACTAAGTCCAGTGGATCGTTTTTTCTAAACTTTTACAGAACATTCTTACACTTATATTTAGCTGTAACTGTTGCTACTGTTGGTGATGCAAAGCCTCACAGTTGTACGCAGCCTTGGGACGGCTAGAAAGTTGGTCTGTCGTAGGACCAAAGCTCTGGGATTGTTATTGTAACTGAGTAAATGTGTATAGAAAATCTACCCAGGCTTTTGTGAGAGAAAAGTAAAATTAATAGCAGTTGCAGCTCCTTTACAAAATGTTGTTGCATCCTTTACAATGGCATCAAAGCTGCTTCTTCTGTAGTTGCTTCGTTTAGCAGAGACACCAATAAGCATCCAGTTATCCAGGAAACGTTTCAGACATTTTTTTGTAAAGTTTTTTATAACTCTCTCTTAGATTATCGATACGTCACTAGGGGTGTAAATAATAATCGTTTTGTATCGATGCATCGATTCAACAGCCGATGATCCGATTCATCGACACGTCCACAAGAGAATCGATTCATGTTTTTTTTTTTTTTTTTTTCTCCAGTCTATTTTTATCCATTTGCTCCTGGGCGTAATTCTCCCTCCCGTGCTGCGGTGGCGCTAAACCTATTTTGCCTTCCTACCTCGCTTCCTGGTTATCCTCCTGCAGCAGTTTGTTGCAGTAAGCTTGACACAGACATTTTTAAATTAAGCTCAATATTGAAGCGTGGTCTGTGCTACACGCTGTGGGTCTAGATACGGCCGAGGCGGCATGGAAGTGGGGGCGAGTTTAGTCCGACGACGGAGGGACATGAGGGCCAAAAAGAGCGGAGATCCAGGTGGAAAAAGGGTCCCAGCGTTCTCATGCACCTCGCTCTTCTAGCGGGTCAAACTTCACGAGTTGTTTTCCGCAATTTCGGTCATAAAAACAAAACAAGCCGGCCTCCTGTCTTCAGCACTGTTTGCGGTCAGCTAGAATTTGGGAGAAGTGCAGCAGAGCGTCTGTGGAGGGGGCGGGACATCTGGAGCCGAGGTATTGAATTGCACTCATTGCACTGATTTTCTGCAGTATTTTTGCAGAATTTTTTGATGCAACTTTTCTACTTCTGTTATTTGCTAATGCATAACGATATTACAGCTTTCATTGATTTATTTCAAACTTGAAACTTTGTTTAGCCTGTAAGGTCTAAAAAAAAATATTTAAAAAAATTAATCGAATCGAATCGTGGTGTATTCTTGAGTATCGAAAATAATCAAATCGTTGGGTCAGGAAATCGATACTGAATCGAATCGCCATGATGGATGTGATTTACACCCCTATACGTCACTTGATTCCGCTCGTTGCTGCTTCCACACACGGATTAAGCTCCAAGATGGTAAAGTACCGTGATTTGCAGAACCCTTCCGCTTCAGTCTGTGGCTTCGAAGGGATGTGAGCCGAGTCAAATCCTCTGGGGCTCATGTATGTTGTTCCCAAAACCAACAAATAAACGCTGGTTGTATGAAAAAATGACAGCATATAGATTTCCTAGGTTTCATTTTTGTGTTAGTACTGTATGCATGCAGCCAGACAAGCTGTTTAAAAGGGTAAACAGAGATAAGATAAAGGAAAAGCTGGTCACTCTGCTTTATATTGTTTTGCCCCATGCTGTAAAGCTTAAAACTTTTTTTTTTCTGGCAGCAAAACATGACACAAAGCCCTTTAAAACTTCTCCAAAATCAGACAATTTGTCGGCTTGATAATCCAACACGTTCACCTGTCTGCTTCATTCTGAGTAACAGCCTGATTAGGAGATCATTTGGCACCTGGATGTACATTTCCCAGCCAGCTGCCCCTTTATTTCTGCTCCGATTCCAATCTTTACTGTAGTTCACATCCAGCCCGAGATGAATTTATTCCTGCGAGATTGGCCTGGTGAGACATTAATTTAATGTGGGCCGCTGCTTTGTCTCTGTTCGCCAATATCTGCCGTAGGAATCCATAACTCCTGATATTAAAAAAGTAATAAGGCAGAGAAAGACATAGGAGTGGAGGTGGAATGAGAGATGTGGAGAAGATGAGGTGTCAGGTAATGGGTCACACTCATTACCAGCACCAGCTGCTGTTTGACTCGCAGCAGAGGGGATCTTTCTTTTGCAGAAAATCAGTTTCGGACCAGCCTGGCCCTCCGAGGACACCTGATGTATATTGTGCTTTTCTTGTGTAAATCTGTTCTTTTTGAGGTCTTACATCTAAAAAAGGATTCCAAGAGTCCTGATATTAAGGTTTTAAAACGAGTGTCCTACAGCTAATTTGACACAGGCAAGTTCTGCAACAAATAAATAAAATAACCACATCCTAATAAGGTAAATAAAATAACCATACCCTAATAAAATGAATGAAATAGCCTCATCCTAATAAATTCAATAAATTAACCACATCCTAATAAAATAAATAAAATAACCACATTCCAATAAAATAAATAAAATAACCACATCCTAATAAATTCAATAAATTAACCACATTCTAATAAAATAAATAAAATAACCACATCTTAATAAGTTTACCAAAATAACCACATCCTAATAAAATAAATAAAATAACCACATTCCAATAAAATAAATAAAATAACCACATTCTAATAAAATAAATAAAATAACCACATCCTAATAAGGTAAATAAAATAACCATACCCTAATAAAATGAATGAAATAGCCTCATCCTAATAAAATGAATGAAATAACCATATCCTAATAAATTCAATAAATTAACCACATCCTAATAAGGTAAATAAAATAACCACAACCTAATAAAATAAATAAAATAACCACATTCTAATAAATAAAATAAAATAACCACATCCTAATAAAATAAATAAAATAACCACATTCTAATAAATAAAATAAAATAACCACATCCTAATAAAATAAATAAAATAACCACATTCTAATAAATAAATAAAATAACCACATTCTAATAAATAAAATAAAATAACCACATCCTAATAAAATAAATAAAATAACCACATTCTAATAAATAAAATAAAATAACCACATCCTAATAAAATAAATAAAATAACACATCCTAATAAAATAAATAAAATAACCACATTCTAATAAATAAAATAAAATAACCACATCCTAATAAAATAAATAAAATAACACATCCTAATAAAATAAATAAAATAACCACATTCTAATAAATAAAATAAACTAACCACATCCTAATAAAATGAATGAAATAGCCTCATCCTAATAAATTCAATAAATTAACCACATTCTAATAAAATAACAAAAATAACCACATCTTAATAAAATAAATAAAATAACCACATTCTAATAAATAAAATAAAATAACCACATCCTAATAAAATAAATAAAATAACCACATTCTAATAAAATAAATAAAATAACCACATCCTAATAAAATAAATAAAATAACCACATTCTAAGAAAATAAAGAAAATAACCACATCCTAATAAAATAAATAAATTAACCACATTCTAATAAAATAAAGAAAATAACCACATTCTAATAAATAAAATCAAATAACCACATCCTAATAAAATAAATAAAATAACCACATCCTAATAAAATAAATAAAATAACCACATCCTAATAAATAAAATAAAATAACACTTTTGGTCTGGTTCTGTTAGTTTCAGGATTCTAGCAGAAAGGTTAAGTATTATAAAGTTAAAGGAATGATTTCCGTTTGTGTGAAAAACTTAAGTTAGACCTGATTTCAGATGTCAAAGTTATTTTTGTTTTCCAGTGTCTCAGCAGAACCGCAGAACACTCATCAGGTGACCTTATGAGCTTTCTTCCTTCATTAGCAAGAAACTTTCAATATCAAGAAGGATGAGGCAAACATTTATACCATTTAGGTTTGATGACTAAAATTGACCAATTTAAGCCAAAGGAGCCCAGATGATGCTGCGTCGTTCAAAGCCATTTTCTGTTATTGTACCTTTTTAAACCAGTGTTGCATGTTTTGACTAAAAAGAAGATTTTCCAGTTGAAGTGGTGACAGGACAAGATTAATTCCCATGTGATTGCAAATGAACAAATAGCGCAAGAATTTAGCTCGCAGGCCAGGTTGGAAACTTTCGTCTTATGTTCTGGTTATCCTCCCACAGCAGTGTGTCGAAGTGAGCTTGTCGCAGATACTTTTGATTTATGCCCAATATTCAAGCATGGTCTGCGCTATGTTATTCCACGGCACAGTACAAGAGGGACAATCACCAACTAGCTGTGGGTCGAGATACGGCCGAGGCGGTGAAGAAATGGGGGCAAGTTTGTCAAACAACAGAGGGACATGAGGGCGAAAAAGAGCAGGGATCCAGGTGGAAAAAGGGTTCCAGCGTTCTCGTGCTCCTTGCTCTTCTAGCTGGTCCATCTTCATGAGTCCTTTACCGCAATGGTGGTCCTACAAACAAAAGAAGCCAGTAAAGTACCAAACAGGAAATACGCATGAGTAGAGCAGATGTAGATTTGACCAATCAGAGGCCTCCTGTCTGCGGCACTGTTGCGGCAGGAGGCGGGGACGTCCCTGCATTCACTGCGACACCTACGCAGACAACCAAGTTTCGAAGTATAAATCCGCCTTTAGACTTCAACTTTCATTAGACCTAACATTGTTATATCTAGGAAGGGGATTTCAGCGAAAAGCTCCTGGACTTTAATCCCAACCAGGGTCTTTTTAGCTGAACTCTGCACAATCTCTTCACTTGTATATGAATTTATCCTCCTGCTTATTTTCTTAATCTTTATATTGACCAAAAACAATTAGAAAAACACTCACCTTCATAACTAAAGCTGTCTAAATCATGTCAACGTCTCTGCATCAAACTGATCATATCAATGCAATCTTTTTTTTTTTGCACCGTGTTTTTTTTTCTCCCAAATGTATTTTTTTATACACAGTGTATAAAGCATATTCAGTCCCATTTAACCCTGATGCTCACCATTACATTTTGCAGGCAGAACGGGACACACGGAGGTGGTGCGTGTTGTTTACCATCCAGAGAAGATCAGCTTCAACAATCTATTGAAGGTCTTCTGGGAAAGCCATAATCCAACTCAAGGTAAAGGCCACATTCATGTCTGAACCCTAAAAGAACAACCGGAGGGTTCTTTATTTATTGTATTTTGTTGCTCATTACACAGAATATACAACATAGTAGAGCTTTAAAGCTACATATTTATCATCTTCAGCTTGTAAAGCCTGTACCTACGCATGACTGATTAGTAGAACATCGCATATGTATGCCAGCCTTGGAAAGCTTGAAACATCGAGGCTGACAGACTGACAATCTGACAGCAAAATGATGACATGTTCAGTAATAAAGAAAACAGCTTTCACTTCTGCAGAGACAGAAGAAGACAGGTTATATATTTGGACATGCCGTCAGTTGTTGTTTGCCAAGAAATGAAGACAGAGATGCTTATAAGAAAATAAACCAAACAACATGTGTATTTTCAGGGATGCGTCAGGGGAACGATGTCGGCACAACGTACCGCTCTGCCATCTACGCCTACACCCAGCAGCAGCTAGAGGAAGCGCTGGCCTCCAAAGATCAGTACCAGAAGGTGAACAGATCTATGAGTCTTTGTTATTTGGAAGAAACATGTGCATGAAAGCATTTTGATTTCTGATCATGTGGAGAAAAGCCATCTTCCGTATGAGACAGCTGGGCGGTTTGGAATCCAGCAGCTGCAGGATGAACATTTTTTGTCAGGGTCAGTAGAAAGAGAACGGATGGATTGTAATAACAACTGCATTCATAATCTAAACACCCAAAAGTTTGCTTTTGTTCCTTATCTGGACTAATAACGGTAATTATGGATTCTTTACTATGACTCCTCAGCTGTTGACATATTCAGACAAACATTATTGACAACAGTCATTAATTATTTTTAAACTGCTTACTGGTACCAAGAGTAGAACCAGTAGGACCAGTACCACATAGAGAAGTGATTCAAAAGATCTATGTAGTTTTTTTGATGTTATTAATTAAAATTTGGGTTCAGGTAAATTCATTTCTGTTTAAACTTAAATCTTATCAACTTAAAGCTAGATATTTGACCATTTTATATTAAATTAAGACATTTTAATTCAGTTATATTTCCTAAAATTAAAGAAAGTGACATTGAAGTTATTTCAAATTCTGTTTAATTCTATTTAGTTCTATTTAGCTCATACTTTAAAATCACACTACACTGGAAAAAATCTAAATCTAGATAAGTCATTTTTTAAAAAAAATAAGTGCATTTGTTCTTGGATTGAGGAGGTAAAAGAGAAATTTTGCCAATGGAACAAGAAAATTTACATTTAAAATAAGAAAACATAACTGCATTGTCTTATTTCAAGTGCATTTTATCTAGTTATCTTATTTTAAGAGTAAAAATACTCATTCCATTGGCAAACTATCTCATTTACCTACTCAAATTAAGCGTAAATACACTTAATTTAGAAAATGTTAACTTATTTCTAGATGTTTTCCAAGTGTAAATCAAATCAATCACTCAATCAAGCATCTGTATAGCACTTCATACACTGCAAAAACAATCTAGAAATAAGTAGAAATTCCTTAAATCAAGTGTATTTTACCTTAATTTTAGCAGGTAAATGGGATGATTTGCGTTTGAGTATTTTTACTCTAAAAATAAGATAATTAGATAAAATGCAATTGAAATAAGACAATGCAGTTGCTTTTTCTTATTTTAAATGTAAATTGTCTTGTTCCATTGGCAAAGTGTCTCACTTACCTCCTCAATTCAAGAACAAATGTACTTAGTTTAGGAACAAATTACTTATTTAGATTTAAATTTTTTGCAGTGTAACAACACCAGGAAGACCAAAGTGCTTCACAGAAAGATAAAATTATTTTAAAAAACAAACATCTTAAGCATTTAACAGTTTGTTTTAAGTATTAAAAGCCAGTTTTAAAACTTAGTCTTTAATCTGGCTTTAAAAAGGGGCAGATCTTTGAGAACCCTCAATGGGTTCTCAAAGAGAACCCATTGGGAAAAAAGGTGTTTAACTATTCACCTTAGTTAAATAAACGGAGATCGATGGATTTCACTCATTTATTCATATCTTTGCAAAGAGAGAACAGTTCATCATAAAGTCCTAATGGCGCAGCATTCTGCTCTGTTCTGATCTGGGCAGCTTTCGTTCCCCCTTACTTACAACAATGGAAAGTAGTCAGAGTCAAAACAAATTACAAACACTTTGGTTTAACAGTAACATGTTATGAATAAACCTTGACAAAGGATCTGGTTTGTTATGGGAAGAAGCAATGTCTGGTCTACAAACACCATCCTGCAGAGAATGATGTGGCCTTCAAGGTGAAACAGACTGAGTGAAAACTTTTATAGTGAGTAAATAGGATAAATTAATATATAATAAAAGAGAAATAAAAATTTTCCGACAGCAACCCGCATACAGAGGGGGAGGTTGTTCCACTGTTTAGGTGCAGTAACCACCAAGGAACAATCACCCCGCTGTTTATAAGGGGACCTGGGCACGTCCAGAACCACTTGATCGGCAGACCGGAGAGCAATGCTGGGGCGTGTTACGGTCAACATCTCAGTTAAATATAACAGAGTAAGACCATAAAAGGCTTTAAAAACATGTATTACAATTTTTAAATCAATCCGAAAATGGAGCAGGATTCGGTACAGGGAGAAGAAGACGGGAGTGATGAGGCTGGATCGTTGGAGTGGCGACTGTGGGAGGCCAGAGTAGAGAACGTTGCAATAGACCAACTGAAAACTAATAAATGCTTGAGTCGCCTTCTCCAGGTCTTGGTCAAAAGGCGCAGCTGGGGGGGCGTGCTTTGGTGGTCGAATCCAACCTGTCGTCCTTTCCCGCATGCTTCTCCCCCTCTCTCATACCCCCTTTCCTGTCAGCCTACTGTCCAAAAAAGCCACTAGTGCTGTAAAAACTAAAAAAAAAAAAAAAAAAGAAGTGGCAGCTGGAAAAATCCAAGCTTTGACAACAGCATTTATTCGTTGTTTAAAGTTCAGTTCTCGGTCAAAGACAACTCCCAGGTTCCTGACAGCATTACTGACTGGACCCCCGACCCTGGACTGACATTGTTGCCAACTCCTCAGTAAGGAAAGTAGCTATTGACTGTGCTAAAAGTCGCTAAATGAAGTCATCGCCTAATTTGCATAATCTGCCACAGGAAGTGATGTGCATGTTATTGATGCTGTGGGAAAAATAATGTTGTTACAGAAAGACAAAAAGTGAGTAAAAACTCTATATAATAGTGTTTTTACTCACTTTACTAAACAATATATATTTAGACCAAATAACATTTTACATTTACTTCCCGCTCGCTCCCGCCTTGAATGTAAGTCAGGGCGGAGCGGCACCGCGTGATCAATTTGCGCCGTCAATCCCGGCGCATGCGCGCTTCATTTGCAGTCTGAACGCTGAGTGTAAACATCCTGCGGCTCTGACTGCAGCGCTGAGAGGGACTCCTGCAGGAGCAGGAGAACGGGGTTGGGATGGGGGAGGCGCCCCACGGCAGCAGCTGCCGCTGGAGGAAGCCGCCAGTGACACCATAAAAAGTCGCCAGATTTGTCGCTAGTCGCTTTTTTGATAAATAGTCGCTGGAGGGGTCTGAAAAGTCGCTAAATATAGCGACAAAGTCGCTGAGTTGGCAACACTGTGGACTAGAGACTGACACGGGAGTGGATTTTCACTCCTGTCCTGTCCCACTCCCACAGAAAAAAATGGTGTCCCGTCCCGATCCTGGGCCAGAGTAGAAATCTAAATCCTGTCCCGTCCCACTCCTGGTGAAATTACTCCCACTCCCATCCCGCTCCCATTCAGAATGACTCCCGCTCCTGCACCACTCCCATTCTTGTTGTTTTTGAGCACGGGTGAAAAACTCAGAGCGGAAGTTACTATTGGCTTGCTCCCGCTCCCGTCTGCTCCCGTTAATGTTTAATCCTGTACCGTCCCAATACCGTGATCGTTACTAATATCCCACAGGAATCCCACGGGAATCCCGTGACCCGTGGGATTCCTGAAAAAATGTCAGTCTCTACTGTGGACTGAATCTTAGGGACATCCCCTGCAGGTCAGTCCCTGATTGGTGGAATCGTGTTGAAGGCAAAATGGGCTAATGTTAGCACCATTACATAAGGCGGACCAAAATCATAGCCTGATGAACCAGACTAAATGTGAGATTAAATGTGTAATTTAGTCTGGCCTCAATGAATGAGACATCGGAACATTGTTGATGAGAACAACCTGTTGTTTTTCAAACCATGTCTGTGCCTATTGGCCAACGCTCTGACCAATGAGAGCAACAGAAACACGACAGAAAGCTGGTGGGGGAGTGTAAACAAACAGCCTGTCGGTAAAATACGTCCTTAAAAATGAGTGAGCGTAAAGCCTCTTCCTGCTCATGTTTCAACGAAAACCCCAAATCTAATCCTTCCAAAATTGATTCCAAAGCTGAGTCAAGCGAGAACTGTTCATCTTCCTTGTTTTGCTTTCTCCAGCGTTGCACAGCTTTGTCGTCCCGCCCTCAAAACCCCACCCGCTTTGCATCCAGAAATTCAAAACACATCTCTGCGTTGTGATTGGCCAGCCCGTTCTTGGGCCTGGGGCATTGTTCAAAGCAAGACCACTCGCAGGCAAAAATGATTTTGGCCGCTGGCGGGTTGGACTAGTTTACTAGGCTACCAAAATCATGCTCTGTGTAGAGTGCACATTGCTGGCATCAATGGTTTTAAAATAAACTGACATGAAAAGGAAGAAAAAAGGCACTTAAACACTCTGGATTATCTGGCAGTTTTTAAAATCAGGCTCAGACGTTTTAACATGAGACAAGTCTGACTTCAGGTTGATCTCACCTTTTATTCACCTCAGGTCAGGTTAACCCCTTTCAGTTTAAATTAATTTAATGAATTCACTCACATTCACTTGTACTCCACTTATTCTAAGCTTAATTCTATTCACTCCTGCAATTATTTTCTCATCAGTTCAGTTTAATCCAGATTCGGTTCAATTTAATCCAACTCCAATTCATAGCAAATATCATCTCAATTAACTTTGCATTACAATCAGCTCCAATGAATCCTGTTAAACACCTCACTCTCTGAAGTCCAGATTTGAAGCAATTGTAATAACCTTAGTCATAAACTTTAAAGGTAACAAGAAAAGATGACTAAACTTTCACTTAAATACTTTTTCTTGTCTTGAGGAAGCACAAGGCGACAGTAAAGAGAAACAAAGGTCACACATACAGAACCGCTTCAGGATAAAGCGTTATCAGCTTCAATTAGTTTGGAATCTTTTGGAAATATTTCCTCAGCACTAGCTCAGTTTGAGCTGAGTATTTGTTACTTCAATGAGCAGAATTGAAACTTTTCACCAACTCCTCACGGTGATGGTATCATTACACCGTCCTATGGGACGTTTTTTGACTTGATGCTAAAGCAATATATTCAGGAACTTATTTTCAAATGCATCCATGTATGGTTTTCATCTGTGTTAAAGTTTTTATTGTAGTTTATGTTCCCTTTGTTTGACACAGTCCTTAACATTTGCCATTCTGACTTTTCGG